TTCCTCCTTCCAAGAGCTAGTGGCTTGGTTCCAGCAGAATTATTTGACTTCAGTAAAATTTGACTGTTACTAGTTTACTTGATCTAGACAAGAAAGAGCTCATGAGTAGAAAAAAGCTCATCACTGAAACTTTTATTCTGTTCCCTCTACAACTTCTATCCAGCATGTAAAGGAAAGGGCTGAAGAACAAAATAACAGGGATGGAATAAAGAATAAGACATTCCTGTTGACTTGTCTAGGAGTTCTATTCTTGTTAACTCATGCACTGTTTTAAATAATGGGGAATTGAAACAGGTTACTTATACAATAGGATCCTGAATTTGTATCACACTTGTCCTCTCAGAGCCCAATGAAACTCACTTGGAAAGCTTGGCTGGCCCTAAACAAGTTTTGAACTACTGAAACTGCCCATAAAGCTACAAAATAAATTTATTTTACTTATTGTGATTGTACAGTTACGGTCTAGAACATTTTTCTGTCATGGTGTGCCTTTCTTTATTAGTCCTTTGCTCTGCTTACTGCCTGAAACATTGTGCAGGGACAGAGCTGATTGCTCAGTTACCGTCTAGCGAGTTGTTTATTTAGCACTTGACCATCAAGACGTTCTTGATCTTTCTTCAAGGCTGGGCACTGTGATGCCAGAAAGAAGAAAAACATATACCAGCACTCAGGCACCAGCAGCAGCTAAGTTAAACTTAGCCCACAGTTTCCTCAGCAAAATTTATCCCAGTTTTCATCCCAATGAAAACTGCTTCAATGAATCAATGGGCTCAACTGAAAAAATCATCAGCTCAAGGCACCAAGTAATCAAACTGAACAAAGCTGCTACTCATCTGACACTGTGGTAAGTATCAAAGATGGTTCTGAGTCACAGCAGGGCATTAACTCCTTCTGTGCATTGGGCAATTTGATTTAGCGCAGCACCCAAATTATCTGTAAAAGGTCATATCATTTACTCTTGGAGTGCTGCAGGGCAAATTCAGGAAGGTTTTGCACACTCAAACTGTTGTAAGAAAGATGCAATTATGGATTAATCAATCTTCAATGCAGAGAAATACCAAAGGAAATAACTGGGAAGAGATTCACCTTTCCCTTTATACAAAGAGCCTGCATTTACAGCTGAGTATTTACAGTTAAACAATGAGTTAGAATTAAGAGGACACCATTTAGTTAGCCAAACTAACTGAAAATATATTTTTTAAGAGAATTCTCAGCTTTTCTTCTATCTAAAATCAGCGCACAAGACATTTGTGCTGACATTTTGGAGCCAGATTAGCCCAAATTTAGCATTAAAGTGGTGAGGTTATAAATCAAGCAGCATTTCTGGGGATCATCCTGCTGACAGGCCCTCTTGAATTACCTACTGCCATAACTCTGTTTTATCCTGTAATGTTAGCAATGTTATGCTAATAATATAGCCCAGGGAAATGATAGAACAGTCCAGGGAGGTTATCATGTGGACAGCCTTCCTCTTCATGTTTGAGCAACACTCTAGAATTGCAATTCTCAATGTTCTATTGAAGCGTATGTAACAGCTTCACATTTTGATTATTTTGTTTGCATGTTTGTTTGCTCTTATACGTGGGCAATGCTAGGAAGTCTGCAAAATTATTAAGACTGAAAATAGGAATGATGAACCTCTATCTTACAAGGATAAAATTACTAAAGTTAAGCCACTAAAAATATGATCCTCATCTGAGCTGTGTTCGCCACACATTCCTAAGATTTTCTGCAAAAGAAAATAATTTTGGAGATCCAAAATATTAGATTCCTTTGGCAGCTTTTTTGCCAATGCCAGAACACAATCCCACATGAATCAGACTGTTAACTGGACATATCTAAAGTCCTAATTTTAAAGAAATTCCTCCTAGTCTTCTGTCAGAAGGGAACTGAAAACTGTGAGTTGTTTTATAAATTGCCCATTTATTTGCCAGTGTCAGAAGGAACAAACCACTGCCTCTCCTGCCCCCTTACACAGCATGTGCAAAGAACTGGGAAAAACAGAACTGCTAAGCAATCACACATGGAACAGCCTCATTTACTGGAGCTGTTACAGTTTGGATGAATGACAGTGCAAGTGCAGGCCAGATCTGCACTCTCTGAATGTTCTGTCTGAACAGTCACATCAGTGTTGCCACAGAGAAGCAACACCTACACAGCCCATCCAAACCCAAGGCAGTATCTTCTGCCCAGTTACTTGTTCTTCAGTAGGGCTCTCAGACAGCCACACTCATCACTAGTTTATGTCTGAACTCAGAACCCCTTCAGCTGGGCAGGGAGTGAGATGAGATGCCAAAAGCATTATTCCAGGAGAAAGCATATCCAGCTTTGTGCTGCAATGTCTGTACTTTACTTGATAATTTTCCTAATATCATCATTGGTGAGGAGCCACTCAGTACCTGAGGAGGCCAGCCTTTCTGGGTAGCAGTCATTCTTTTAAGTTTCCATCCGTGGTGGTTGCACCTTCAGTTTGAAATTACTGCAAATAAACTGTGCAGACAGCTTACTAAAGTACCTGATAAACCTTATGAAACCACACTGCAGAAATTTATGGAAAATTAGGGGCCTATTTACAAGAAAAACAATGTTTCTGAGACTGATCTGAGGCTGAACAGCTGATGAAACAGTTTGGAAGATCAGATTGTGATTAGAAGAAAGGATAAAAGATCTTGCAGAAAGCCTTGCAGAAAATTAGCCCTTGACAGAACTACCTGAATTTTCCAGTAAAGGAAATTGACCAGGCTGGACTGAAACTCATGGGTCAAAAGCAAATCATACTGAGTGAGTCACTGTGGAAAACAGACAGCCAAATCTATCAGTAAGCTACTTTCCAGAAAGCAAACAGGATTGTTTGCACAAGATGGCCCAGCCAGTGCAGTCTCAGTGCTCAGCTTTTCGTAATGAGTGGTGACCCCAATGGTGTTTCAGGGAACTATTCCAAGGCCATTTTTCTGAAACGTCATTTAAAATATGTGTTTGATACTGTCACTAGTGCTTTCAAGAAAAATGGGACAGAGGATTTTGTCCCTCCAAATGGCAGGCAAAAGTTTCTGGGAACAAGCCTGCAGGCTGTTTTAGAGAGTGCTAAGCAGGTAGAGCTCCCTTACTTTCAAGATCCCCAGCCTTGAGAGACCTATGGAGAAACATACAAGCTTGTATATTTCATCCTGTTCCAAACAAAAACAGCGTCTGAAGCAAAACTGAACTGATCCACCACCCATCAGAACAGGATTATTGGCCAATTCCCAATCATCTTTGCTGATACTTTTACCAGGGAGCAGAAAATCAGGTTATTGAAAGCCTTGGAAAGGCTCAGATATAAGTCCTTAAATCTAAATATTATTTTTTTTCTATCACACATAGAATGGGATAATCTAACAGAACATCATGAAATAGACATAATTTCCCACCATCTGGATCATGTTTTCCAGCCTAAATCACCAAATATGCTACTTTATGAGGTTGCTCACCTCATCACAAGACACAAAATGTTTCCATTGGGGATATAAGCCAACTTGTCAGTGGAATATTTTTGCTACTACTATTAAGTCGCAATCCATATGAATATGAATTTTGGCCAAAGATAAATGCAGAAATAATTTAGATCAGCTTTTCCTGGCCTTGTCTATGCATCCTATACATTGGACTTAAAGCACAAAGAGACTTGAGGCTCCATAAGACGAGAAACACTAAACATGAACTGCGACCCTTTTAAGGTTAAGACCTACTTTTAAGTAGGCAGAAGCCGAGAAGCTTCTCAAAAGGGCCGTGCACTTCAGCGGTTCCACTGCTGTGTTTATCGCGGCCCCTCAGTGCGGGCTTTCCCCGGGCCGGCGCCGCCGCCCTGTCCCTGGTGCTGACCGAGCCGCCGGCCCCGGCCCTTCCCAGCCCGGGGAATTCTCGCTCCTGGGTAAATCCCAGGGGGCTCCGATGATTAGGAACAGGGGCCTTTTTTTTCTTTTTTTTTTTTTTTTCTTTTCTTTTTTTTTTAACAAACTCACAAAGCAGCGTCTCTGTCATTGCACTGAGAAAACAGCCGACTTTCTGCAGGCTACTTCGGGGAGCACAACATAAAAAGCCAAAAAGGCAAACCAAACAGAACTGCTCAGTAGAGGGATGTACGGAGCGGGCTGCCTGGTCCTTGACAGCACTCAGCAGGACCATGTGAAGGCACCACCAGGCTCAAACTCTTAAAATCATCTGAGCATCAGTATCCTGGTGGGCAATTAAATTGTTCGTTCTGCCTTTTTTGTCTTCCAAACCCTTTGTCTTCTCTCGGGACGTCGTTTTAACTTTTCCATTTAACTAAAACGACCACTGCTTATCAGCACCAGTGAAATCAGTGGGGGAAAACAACCTCGCTTCCACTTTTCCTACGGGTCAGTGAACGAAACCACCGTTCTCGCTCGTGCTCCGGCGGCGAGCGAAGGGGCTGAAGGCTGCGGGCTCCAAGCCCGCAATTCATTAACGCACAAGGTTCGAGAGCTTTTGCTGAACTTGGGCAGGACAGCAGCTCCTCCCGGCCGCCCTCGCCGCCTTCCAGAGCGTTCCTGGTCCCACCCGCGGGCGCAGCCCCCCCGTTCCCGCCGCCATTTCATCCCTCGCATCCTTCCCTGAGGGCTCAGACGCGGAACGCCCGCCCCCCGGGATACCTGCTGCCCCGGAGCTCGGCCGAACCGCTCCCCACAGCTCTGTGTAACCTTCCCGCTCTGCCACCGCGGCCCCGAGGTGATCTCGGCCCAAACTCGGATATTTACACACCGCGGGCAGCGGCTTCTGGCGGATCGGTCCCTGCGCCACCGCTTGAGGCAAATCCCCTCCCGCGGCGGCTCGCCCGCCCAGCGCCCCCTCGCGGCGGGACGGGGAGCGGCCGCCTCCCTCAGCGCGGCACTGCCGGGCGCTTTAAAGGCTCCACCTGTGGGGCAGCGGCTCTTCCCTCGCCACGGGGCGGGCGGGGGCCTCTGCGCTTCCCTCGGCCCCCCTGGCTGCGGGGGCGATGTCCGTGGGTGCGGCAGCAGCGGCTCCCGTGGGGGCGGGACCGGCACCCACCCGGCGCGGCCCGGGCAGCGCTGCGCGGCCGGAGGCGGCGGGGGCGGCCGCTCGGCCCGGAGGTGCCGGTGAGCGGGACGCTGCGGTGCAAGGTGGGTCGCGCCGCGACTACAGTGTCCGTAGTGGAAAATTAAACCCCGGAGAGCCCTCACTGGGAAGGCAGGAGTGAGTAGGCGAGGCTGAAGTGTAACTTTTGGGAGGCTGCTTAGTTATCCTGCACCCCTGTGGGTGTGTAGGCGCACCGCTGCATCAGCGTGATCCCTGAGGATCCTCTCTAACAGGTCCTGTGACCTCGATGTCAGCGCTCAGCCCCTGGTCCCTGTGTGCTGGCTGTGATGTGTTTGGGTTTGTTTGGATTCTTTTTCGTTCGCTGTTTTCTCTTTCCTGAGGCCAAATAGTCACTTAGGTTCCCTTGTACCACGGCGCAGATTACACTATTCACGGGATTGCTGTAAACTTTCCTGGTTTCAGCCCAGAGCTGGAGAACAACAATGAAAACTGAACAGCAACACATTTTGCAGACTTCTTTTTCTGCCTCGAGTACATGTATTAGAAACAGAGCCCTGTGTTTTAATCCAATTTGCTGCTATTGACTCATTTTCTCACCTAAAGTGGGTAACCTAAGTGCTGTGGTTATGTTTAAAAGCAGGAAATTATTTAAACTACAGGTGCTTAGATGTTTTTTACCTTAAAATAATAAATGTTCTTATCATGAGAAGGTAAGTACCATAGAAGTCTTTAAGTATTACATGGTGTAGTGAGTGTCTTTAAAAAAAATGACTGAAAAGCTGGTAAGTTAAGAACTTACTAACATACACTTAAGTCTTTACAGTCTGGAAAGGTATCTTCCCCTTCTCTTTCACGGTGAATCTGCGTCTCCACAGGTTTCCAGTTTAATACAGTTACCAAAAAATCTTCGTATCTTTAAAAGTTTAATTCTGACTAAACTGGGTTGTATACCAAATCTTTTGTGGTAGTGAAAGGAGGTTGGTGTAGGGGAAAAAAGGCCATGCAGCAGAGGAAAAAGGTGTGAAATACAGGTTGTTTTGTTGGTTTTTTTTTCTTGGTAAAGATGGAAATAGTTATGGTGAAAGATCTAGAGGGAGGGATAGATAGCAAATTCAGTTAATTGGTAAAGAGATACTGGCAGCAGCAAACAGCCAGACAGGAAACATTAGAGCTGCATTTCTGAAGGCATTACATTATAGAGAAGGGAGATAATATTTATATTGCTCTAGCATATCTCCCCAGCATTATCAGCTTTTTCTGGAACCCACAAAGCACAGTCTTAGTAAGGTATTGACAAAGCAGAATGTGGTGAAGCCAAGTGTGATAGAAAATTTAGCAGCTTGAGAAAGATCAAGACTTAGGACAACTTGATAAAGGGGCTAAAATGATCTCAGAAATTGTAAGGTCTGTGAGAATTGAAGGATTTTAAATCAATAGGTGAAACAAAGATGAACATGGAAGTACAAGTAGGATTAGCTCAACTTAGTTCAGAGTTCAGCAGTGAAGGAAAGGAGATCTCAATGAGCTCTTTTGCAGAATAGTCTTACTTTGGAAGCAATATTGAACTTGCGGGGAAAAATTTCTTTGGTATTGATAATTAATTTTATATTCAGTTGGCCACTGGCAAGGTAGGAATTCAGAGCTTTTTTTTTTTTTTTTCCATCTCTAATATGTCAGTTTCAAATTCCTTAGCACTGCTTAACTAATATATAGTAAATGTGTACTATTTCCTCCTGGGGATGGCAATGAAGATCAGTCCCCAAATACAGCTGTTGACTTCATGGGACATGTACGTAGCATTGGATTGATTCAAAACTTTGGAAAACTCTGGGATTGCTTATATTGGACAACTGGTTCAAAGCTTGGGTTTTCTTCATGCATGTGTTTAGTGAGTAGTTTCTTTAAAGGCTCCATTCACCTCACTTTCCCACTTTTCTGAAGGATTGTAGGTAATTGTACTGGGGACAGTGCAGGAATCCATGGGACAAAAAGGGTGTGTTTGTCATACAGCTGAATGCTGCCTTCTTGTACTGCTGCTCCCTCAGGTGAGGGAGGCTGAAAGAAAGACAATCTTTTTGCCTGGTTGTTTTTTTGGGGTTTTTTTTTTTTTTTTGGTTGGTTGGTTTTTATTTGGGTTTCTTTGTTTGTTTGATTGATTGGTGTGGTTTTTTTTTCCCTAAGGGAAAGTCTATCCAGCTTGTTGAACATCTTTCTATTAAAGAGGACATGATAGTTTATTCATGCATGGCACAAATTTTGCACTTGCCTAAACATAAAACATTGGAACCATGACCTTGTATGCATCTTTTTGTTTGCCAGAGATTCATAGTCTGTTGCAGCTCAGAAGTCAAGCTCTCCAGCAATCCACTTCTGAAATCCTTGATGACCCAAATGATACAACCTTGTTGCTGCAGTAACAGTAATTCAAGTCTCCCCTGTGCCACAGGAGCTAAAATATAACCCCTGACTAATGTGCCCAGCTTTGTGAAGTAGTAGCAACTTTAACAATTGGAATTTCCATGACTTGTTTCCTTCCACCTTAATTTAGCACGGACACTAGTGGCTTTTATTTCATTCACTTCATGTCTGTGCACTCCCGAGCACGCAGCTGTGGCTCTCCCAAAGCCATTCACTGCAATAGGCACAGCATGGTCTCCTAGCACGTGTGAATTGTTTCCGCTGGTGTAACATCTCTGCTGGGCTTGTGGCAGGACAGCTCTGCTCGAGCTCAGAGGCGTTTGCTCGAGGTGGTGGCACTCTCCTGTGCCTGGTACCCATCCAGCTTCCTTGCAACTGTTCCCATCAGTCAGCTGGGAATAGCCTGGGGGAGGAGGGGGGCTGCCTGGGGAGCTCTGGAAAATCCTCTGATTTGATATGTGTAGAGAAAATGTCACCCTGAGCCTGGAATGTGTTTTTTGTTTAAATGTCACCCCTTACATCAGTGACCTCATCTGACTCAGCACTCAGCCTAGCTCCTCTCTGAAGGGAGGGAGCTTTGAGCAAGTCATGGATTTTGACATAGCCAGAGAATGTAGGGAAGAAGGCACACCATGAGAAACAAAATCTGAGCAAACAAAAAATTATTTTTGAAACAGACTAAAAGGCAATTATGTAAAGCAACTTAAAACCTAATCTAAACATCAGAAGCCTCTGAAAAACAAGGAAATTGACAGTTCTGTACACATAGTTTATTTCAGCCTCTGGTTTCCCAGAAGGTTTTGCCGAGGTTTGTGCTGGTAGCTATGGAGGCACTGTACCTGCTGCACTGATGTCTCACCTTTGAAAACAGGGCAGGGCTGAAACAGCCATCTGGGTGGATCACCAGTTTTGTTATTTAGAGGCTGATTGTACTGAAAGTCTGTACAAGGTGAGGCCTGTGCTAAGGGTGTCTCTAACAAATGGACCTGTGACTAAGCATGAGCTTCTGTAGCATTTTAGCTTCATTATTAGTAGCAGAGCTTTCTTCAGGCAGGCAGAGGGGATACAGACACTGGAGAGGCTTAGAGCAAGAAAACTCTGGAATATTCTTTATCTGAATTGTACCTGGTGGGGATAGTGCAGATGCATGAAAGAGCTGTGGTCCTGGTGTGTTGAAGGGAAATGTTGGCCAGGACGCTGGCATATCCTCTACACTTTCCTTTTCAAAACGCCAAGCTATGCTGAACATTTGTGCAGACATGGACAGAAACCAAAGGAGAAGGAACAAGTGACCTCAGTTTAACATTTCATTCAAATGACTGAGTCCCGAATGCGATGCCCGCTCTCGTTTCTTAGCTCGCCACTCAGCCTGAAGGATCTCTCAGATCCTTTGTGATGTCCTGATAAGAAATAGCATGTTGGAGATGTGCAAGTAGGACAGAAGCACAGTGTTTGATTAAACATCTCTGTTTCTTAGTGCTTAGCTCTATTCAGTTTGTTGTGTGGTTTTATTCTGCTCAAAGTTTTGCTTCCCCCCCTTTTCTGTTATTTACACAAATAACTGAAGATTTAGGTATGGGAAGGTAACATGCACAGAATTTTAAGTCCATAAAACTGTGGTCTTTCTTCTAATACTTATTCATGTGATACTGTCTTTAGTAGTGAAGCAATGACTTGGTATGTTTATCTTATCCTGCTTTTATTCTGTTCTCCTGAACTCTTGAAATGGAGCCAAGAAAGGGCACTAAAAACAGCAGTGAATTCCTAGGAAAAAAACAGCAGTGAATTCCTAGGAAGAAACCAGCAGTGAATTCCTAGGAAAAGTAGAAGTACAATGAGAATATACCTTCAAAATTTTGTGTGTGTGTGTGGCTTTGGAAAAAAAAAAAAAAAAAAAAAAAAAAAAAAAAAAAAAAAAAAAAAAAAAAAAAAAAACAGTACTTGATAAACTGGCAGGCTAGGAAACTGCCATTTTAAGTCCAACAAGTCAGTTTTGCCTCTCCTCAAAGTAATCATCCAAACATCAATGGTTCTGGACTCACAGAGGACAGGTTATAAATACTCTTAATGTAAATGTACCTTCGAGGTATTTGTGAGACATCAAAACCTTGCTTTATTCTCAAGCTGTATCTTGCTATTTGCTTTCATTTTGGTTGGGGCCAGTTCCACTGGCTTAGTGCAACTTTTATTTAAATTTGTGTGAATTGCTATGGTTTAATGTGGACCTCTGGCTAAAAGAGAGGGTCATATGGTTTAGTCTAGTGCCTATGTGGAGATTAATTATTCCCTTGTACAAATGGCTTTTCTGGCACTGTGAATGCTAGACAGAAACTTCTACTGCTTCATGGTTTTGAAAAATTATTGACCATCTCCTTAGACAAAGACTGAGTTCCCGGTAGTGTTTGCTCTCTGCTGTTTTGTAATCAGATATTTGTCATGTTTTAAGGTAGGTGTATTGGCAGGGTGATCAATGTTCAAGCTGAGCTGCCTCACTCTAGTGCATTGCGTGGGTTTGCTTGTCTTTTTGATTATCAAAGTAGAGCCCATGTTTGGGGGACATTCCCCCCCCCCCCTTTTTAAATATAATGGCAATTTCTTTCTGACCAGAGGATAAGGGAGAATAAATACTGCAAAGGTACAGAAGAGGGGTTCTGGTGGTCCTGCACAAATTAATTACTTGAAAGGGGTGAGTGTTATTTAATGTTTGTATCTTTATCCTGTGAGCAGAATTTTTTTTGTTTATATCTGTAATTCTGCCAACAGCTTCTGCCCTACCCTCGTGCCCTCTGTATTTTAGCAATTTCCAGTCTAGGGCAGAAATGCTATCCAGCATTACTGAACAAGGGTTATAGTTTTATGGAACTCCTAAGACCTGGAATGTGAACTATGAAAAAATCAAGGAATTAATTAAGGCAGCAATTAGGTAACTATTTGTATTCTTAGGCTTTAATACAAGCGTCACACCTTTAGAAGACTTGTATTGAAATGATGAAACAGGTATGTAGTGAAACTGTGCTTTTATCATAGAAATTATATGCTGATTACAAGTATCCCATGATCTTTCTGTATTCAGAAAAAAATAAATGTTAATTTTTCCTAGGGAAAGCAAGGGCCGTGGAACTGAGCCGAACATGAAGTTGTGAAATTTTTTTATTTTTTTTTTTTGGTGATGCTAAATACATGTAGTATGTACTTTTTCAGTTTAACAAAGCAATGCAAAGGAAAGTTAACATTTTCTTGATGCCTTTTCTGCTACATATGTGGGAAGATCTGTAAAGAAAGAACTTGTATTATATGTCACAGTGCAAGATACCTATGTGCTGAAGCAGAATTTAAAAATGGCTTTGTAGTTGTTAACAGGTTAGTGAAGAGACTTGGGTGGTTGGGATTTTAGAATGGGATTTTGTTTGCTTGTTTTAATAAAACATGTGTTTTGTCCATAAAGTAACTGAGCAGCATAGAATGGGATTTTGTTTGCTTGTTTTAATAAAACGTGTTTTGTCCATAAAGTAACTGAGCAGTGTGAGGGGCTTGAGGAGCCTAGAAAGATCTGTCCCCTTCCGTGGGGACTATATTAGACCTCTGAGTCATGAAGTCTTTGCATAGTAGGTGTCTGGTTACAAACCTTTTATGGGCCCTACTCAGCTGGGATATCAGCATCTGCATTATAGCTCCCATCTATTCTTAGGTGGTATCAGAGCACGACTGAACAGGCAAGGCAGAGAGAGAATTGCTTTCATTTATGTAAAACCCTTCCCTGTTCTCAGTCTGTTTTTTTCACACTTCTTTCTGTCTGCCCCGTCCTTCTGTCCTGCAGTGCCCTGTTGCTGCCTGTGAAAGTGGTACAACATGGCTTACAGTGTGACTCTGAATGGACCTGGACCGTGGGGCTTCAGACTGCAAGGGGGCAAGGACTTCAACATGCCCTTGACCATCTCCAGAGTAAGTGTGCAAAAAAACCTTGTTGGGCTTCTTTGGGTTGGAAAGTAGCAGCCATCTGTACACTTTGACCTGGCCTAGCAGAATTGAAGATCTTTGCACCTAGGTGTGAGTAAAGACAATGTAATGTGAACTAGAAATGTGCCAGTTTGAAGTACAACCTGGCATTGATAATGCCTCAGGAAGACAGTTCTGGTTAGTATATTTGTATGGATGGTGACACTGACTGTTTTAAGTAAGGTTCCAGTTCTATTCTGTACAATGTTGTCTCTTTTTCTGCTGATAGGGGTCTCACTGGTGCAATCTGGGGGGAAGGGAATAGAACAACTCTGAATGAGAATATAGAATTATATTTCTAGAAAATAAACATATAGGTATGTGAAGTCAGGTGTTAAAAGTGAAAAGAGACAGGGATGTGTCCCCTCTTGTGATGGGGTGCAATATTTGGATAAAAATTAGACATGTCAAGCAGAATACTCAGTGGTACTTAAAATACTGTCTTAAATTATGCAAAAGCCTTCCATTTGCAGCTGACAAACAGCATGGATTTAATAATTAATTACTTGGTGTATCTGTCAATTACAGCCATGAATCTCCTAGACACCTTTTTCTTTTCTCTTCCCCTTGAAGCATTATTTTAAGGTGTTGTGGTTCCGTACTCCTATTACCTGAATTAGCTCTATTCTTAAATATTTTTAACATTGAATGGTTTTCAGGAAATTTGTGTTTCCCTTACCTACTTTTCTCTTGTAAGACAGTTCTGTGTGATTTCTGGTAGCTCCTTCTTCTTTTCTTGTTTCTGATAGTCTCAAATCTGCTCCAGAATGTTCAGATCTTTCTAGAGAGGACTTGGCTCCTCCACAAATCACTTGCAGAAGGTTTACTTTGCAGTACAGTGACAAGAGAAGTTACTTACATAACAGTATGTAAGAGAAATACCAGAAAGATTTAATCAGACAAACAAGTAGAATGCAAATAAAAAGTCTGCTACACTACAAAAATAAGAATAATAATAAAAAGCCACCTACACTACTTTTAAAACCATGTTGTTTTTTTTCCTAAAGAAAAAATACAGACTGTTAAATTGTGGGTACAAAAGGGATATCTCTGCAACAAATGTGATTCAAAGTCAGTTGGTGAGCTTCTGAAATCTTAGCTATGCTATTTCATATTCATCCTGTGAAACTGTATCATCTGATCTCCCTTGTTCTTATGCACATTATCTCTTTCTTGGAAGACAGAGCCACGTTTACCTTAATATATGATGATGAGACATACTTTTCATAACTCCTTTTGCAGCATAGTAATTGCAAAGAAGGCTGTTCTGGCAGTTTTATCAAAAGCAAACAAGAAAAAGACAACCTAAAATACCCTCCATCTACAAAAATAAACTCCCTTCATAAACTCAGCTTGATTTTGCTCCTGCAAATAGTGTTGGTATTTCTTTTCTCTTCCCACCCAAGGTAAGTACAGAGAGCTGTCATCATATTTTTGTAGGAGTTTTCGTGACACTTTGCAGCCTGCACTGTATGGTGTTGATTATTTTCTTCTAAGTCATTCAGTCATACCTAGAGCCTGTCAGCCATGGGCCAGGGCTGTAGCACTTGCAGTGTATGTGACACAACAGTAATGAAAAGCCAATTGTGACCCAAAGAGCTCATTGTCTCACACTGTAATCTGTGAAAGTATAAACACTATGCCCAAAGGCTGTATGATTCTCATGAGGCTTTTGAGAGCATAGGAGGAGCAGAAATGAAACTGCAGCAGCTGAATTCCCAGAGGTGTGCAGGAATTAGCTCTGCTCAGACCTGACTGCATTTTCAACCATAGCAGTGTGAGAAAGCACTGTTAAATGTTTTTAAGCTCTTCCCAGTGAGGCCCAGCTTTTAGCTGGGACTACAGCTTTGGGATGGGATTGGATTTTAGAGCCTGCCTTATGAGGGCAGAAGCAGACATACAGGAATTAACATAGCCTCTTTCAGGGGGAGCTGGGACAGTTATACCTGCTGGTTGTGATGTTTTTAATTGAAAAACAGTGTAATACCTGACTTTTGATGATAATCTGGCTTTTTCTTTATCATCTATCACATAAATACATCTCCAAACATCAGAAATTTCAGTCATAACTCACTTATGTGAGTTGACCTATGAACTCAGCCATAATTGCAGTCTTATTGAGGTGGGACAAGGGAAGCTGTATTTACATTTTAAAATATTCCTGGTGGGGAGGAGGGGAGAAAAGATAGCTGTGAGGAAGATCTTGGAAAGGACACACAGCTCTAAATGTTGCTACAGTGGATGCTGTACACCTATTTATGGACTGGTTTTGATCCACAGCTGCCCTGAGATGAGATTAGACTTTCTATGTGTAAGATGAGTCCTAAACTCCAAATACTTCAAATTAAAGAGTATTATTATTGCTTTTAATGTGCCGTGGCAGATGTGCCATGATCCTTCTGGCTACAATGTCCTTCTAAGCCTGCAGACTGGGTTTGCGTGCAGACATGTTCATTGTGCTCTGATTGCCCCCAATTAATTAGACTGTCTGTGGGTGGGCCACAGAGAACAGATGGGTTCCTCCTTTTTCATGAAGGCTCTCTGTTCTTCTGTTGTGCTGCAAGAGCACTGCCTCTAAGCTCCTGAGGAAAATGATTGAAAGAGTCTAACACAGCAGGGTTGTTCATCCCATCTATAGTATTAGACCAAGATGTTTCCAAGCACCCTCTCAAAAGAGGGCACCAGTATTGTGCCACTATGAAGCTATCCCATGCATAAACATAAGTACCTGTTGGCCTGCACTCTGTCAGCCAGCTCTATGCAATTCCCACCCATCTCACATTGTACCTGGAGAACAGGGGAGAAATCCTGAAGATTTCTGAAGAAATCCTGAAGAAACCTGCTGAGAAAAGCACAATGCAAGATTGTGGGATTGCTAATGCTTCTGTTCAGGAAAAATGTTCTTAACACAGGGGGTGAGGAAGGGAATTAGGCAGAGCTGTTTGACATAACAGTTCACTACTAAAGAAATCTCTTAAATGGTGTCAGACACTGTATTTTCTTCCATTCAGGTAGGCCCAGGTGATCAGCTCATAGCTGAACAGTCAGCAGCATAATGCACAGGTGTCACAGCCAGTCAGCTGGGTGACAGGTGAAGATGTGTTCCCCTGAAATGGATTGTTCTGCTTATCTGTTCTTTATCTAAAAATAAATGCCTGACTAACATAGGGGATGGGAACATGAAAACAGGAGACAAAAACAAGTAGGGAAGAGTTAAGGTTGCTCTGCAGCTTTCACACTCCTTTAACAATAGCAATGGGAAATCATCTGTAAACTATTTTTCCAGTCCCCACCCCGGAGACCATTGTATCCACTAGAAAAATTCTGTTATGAGATGTCAAATTCTGTTGTGAGATGTCAAATTCTGTCATGAGATATCATGAGCAGGTAGCAGACATAGGAAAACAGTACTGACAGACTTAATAAAGCTAAGCATCTGTCAGCCCTGCTGAAATGAATGGGACTTGCAGGTTGTTGGCAGTGCTAAGCACTGTCACCAGTGGCATGATCATATACATAAATCTGGTCTTTCTAAACTGACGTGGGCAGCAAAGCTGTTTATTTTCTCTGACTGCTTGAACTGTCTGGAAGCAAGTAGAATTCATTAATTTTGTAGACCTAATCCTCTGTAAGAAGGCTTTTGGACATAGTTAATTATCTGAGTGCTCGGTTGCCACGTTACCTAAGACAGTATGATGGTACATGGTTGGATCCAATAGCAGAACGTCTTCATATAATTCTGAATCTTTCTTTCTGAACAGTAAACGTTTCTAGTGAGACTGGCTTGCAGGTCATGCAATGAGCTGAAATGTGTGAAGGAGCAGTCGTTTTCTGAGAGAGTGGAAATATTGTCTAAATCACTGTGGTAACTCATGACTGGTATATTCACTCTGTGGTTATCTGTGCAGTTATGAATTTCCTAATAGAGAGGCTTTGTAGCTGCTTGGGTTCCAAATCAAAAGCCAGAGCCTGAAACAGGAGATTGTTTTTGTTTTGTTTAAACACTTTCAAGAAATATTTCTCTTTATCAGATTAAGTGATGAAAAGGTTGAAATCTGGTGAATATGTAAGTCCAGGGAGGGGAAAAAAGCAAATACTGCTACAAAAAGAATTAAATTAGCTGATCTATATACTGACTCTGCTGCAAGCAGCCTGAAACAGCTTTTTGAGTCTGGGGGGAAACCCTGGTCTAGCATTTTGCAGTCTGTCTCTGCAGGAGCAGGAAGGTTTTTTTCTCAGAGTTGTTAGGCTCTTTCCTTTTATCAGCATCTCTTACTGATTGCTTCCTGTCCCTCCTCCTCTCCCTAGCATACATATGCCAACCTCTGGCTGTCAGTGCCTTTGCTTTAGAGGAGCTATGTGAGAGTATTCATTTCCTGTTGGCTGTTCCATGTTAGTGCCTTACAACAGGCAGCTGAGGAGGGAATGGCAGTCCCTCTTCATTTTATTTCTTCTATTCTTGAATGTGGGGAAGCCTCAGATGATCTGGGTGCATTCTTGTGCATTCTGCAGCTGTCCTTTGAATATCCATGTGGTGCTGTACATAAATGATAATCAGAAAAATGCAGTTTACCTGTATTGAGTGAACTGAAACAATCAGCAAGTTCTCTTGAGGTGCTGGTACCACATCACCTGTTAAGCATCCACCTTTGGTGAATCAGACTGCTGAGCAGCTGTCCTAAAGCTGCAACTGAGGGGTTGAGCGGGGGGTTGAGAGGGTTTTTCTTAATCTCCAAAAAAGAAGTCCTTCACAATACCAAGAGCTATATATTAGTATTTATAATAGTTGATATTCTATTAAACTAACAGATAAGTCTGATGTCCTCTAGAAGCCTAGGAATCTCCCTCTTCAACCATTACTCAGTAGAGACATTTCCTTTAAAGTTCAAATGACTGAGTCAACTTCTGAGAAGGAAGTGAGCCATTTAATATAATGACTGTCTTAT